TCAAAGCGAGACTAGTCACAAAAGGCTTTGGTCAAAGAATGAGCATTGACTTTGACAAGATTTTTTCACTGGTTGTGAAAATGACATCCATTGTTACTGTGCTGGGACTAGCAGCAAGTCTTAACCTGGAGGTTGAGAAATTGGATGTGTTCACCTTCCTTCATGGCGATTTGGAGGAAGAGACATGCCTGGATGATGTTAAGTTGGTTAGCTGTCATCATGCTAACAACTTTGTGTGGGCATCCAAGTTGTGCCCGCCTACTGACGGGGAGAAGGCGGAGATGGGAACATATTTATGTACTTCAGCATTGGGAAGTATGATGTATGCCATGGTGTGTACAAAATCAGGTATTGCTCAGACAGTTGGAGTTTTTAGTGTGTTTCTTTCCAAGCTGGGGAAGGAACACTGGGAAGCTGTGAAGTGGATCCCCAGGTCTACTTCTAGATACCTGATTACGATATCAGGGGGAGCAATATGGTGGCAGTCAAGGCTACAAAGTTGTGTAGCTCTTTCCATGGAGGTTGAGTACATTGTAGCAACCGAAGTTTGTAAGGTGTTGTTCCAACAGGAACAACTGCAGCTGTTCTGTGACAGACTGAGTTTGAGTCTGTTGATCAGCGACTGGGATAATGAAATTTCCCATGTAGTCGGGCGGGGGAGAATTGTTGGGCCCTCCCACATGCCCCTTTTGTCAAAAAGGGAAGAAGAAAAAGGGGGGAGGCAGAAGAAAATGGAGGAGCAGCAGCCTCCTTTGTGGAAAATGAAGCCACCTTTCGGTGGAAAGAAAGAAAAAAAAAAGGCAGCCCCCTCTTCCTTGCTATCCTATAAAAGGCAGAGGCAGTAGCCTCAAAAATTCATCCCTCAGTTCTTCCTGTCCTCTGTATTTCTTTGCTTTGCTCCTGTGTTGTTCCTGTAAATATTTCTTCTGCGGGTTTTGGTTATGAAACGTTTTCATAACCTGGGTAGATAGGAGATTTTCTTGTGAGTGAAAATAGTGAGGTTGTTTGGGAAACACCGTGAGTTCTATTTTCCGGTGTAGAAAATCTCTGTAACCTACCATTGATATAGTGAAGAAATATCCGGAGCTGATGTTCCCGTGGACTGCCCCCTTAAGTTAAGGGGATACCACGTAAATCCTCGGTGCCATTTATTACTGCTATGCTTGTTGTCATTTTGAGAATAGTCGTAGTATATTGTGTTATTAAATTACCGAAGTAAATTGGTCTAAGGAAGTTGGTTACCGTAATTTTGGAGGCTTGCCGCCAGGTCCAATTTACCTGTGAACTTTTTACAAGCGTGTGATTTTTTAATCCAATATATTTACCTGCTATTCTCACCCGCAGCGCCCAACAATTTCCACTTGATTTATAACATTGTTTTCGCAATTGAGAATCACTTCATGTGCTACTGCTAATTCCAATGCAAACTTCTCTGCCTTTCAATTTCAGAATATTTGGTATCACCTCTTTTCAAAAGAAATATATAATATCGAATGATGAATCTAAAATATTGTTCTGGGAGCTATTTGGATTCATAAGATAGAGGTTTATTAGGGGTTGTTTGGATGACGAATTCTAACGGATCAATTTCGTCAAATTGTCTCATTTTGAGTCAATCTTGTCAAATTGATTTGTTTGGCATCACAAAATTTAGATAAAGCAATTCTGTCTAGGGGATTTCAAATTTGCTCATTTTGAAACAATTACAATTGTCTGGGGTGGGTAGACAATACGAATTAACCCGTTTTGTAAAATAAGACAATTGGTCAAATTGTCTCGTCTTTTACTGGCAAAATACACTTACGTAGCCATAACTTTTGCATCTGTGACAATAATAGTCACTTTTGGAGAAATACACATAATAGCCAAAATTTTGGATGGATGTTGCAAATCTAGCCATTTTCGTTACAAAGTTTAACGGTGTTAGAAACTCCGTCAGTTAGATGGATGTTAAGCTGACTAGGATGCCAAATCGTCGGACATATCAGCGACAACTCAACCACACTTGTCATATAGATGCCATTAGGATTGTTAATGAACCAAGCTTCTCATGAACAACTCGACGTTCGACTCGAGAAAAACTCGTTCGAGACTCGACTCGTCTAAAACGAGCTGGCTCACGAACAAGCTCGTTAAATAAACGAGCCGAACTAGAGTCATGTCATGTTCATCTCGAAAGCTCACGAACTAGCTTGACTCGATAATTTGTTGTGCCTTGTTCATGAACTAGCTCATTTAAAGTTTGCGAACGGGCTCGAAAGTGTTAATTTGGACTAACCTATGACCTATCACATAATAAAATATAACTAATTTATTTAATTAAGCTAGTACTCCTCTACCGTCATCCATTATTTGATAAAATATAGCTAACCTACTCCAACCTCCACACTCATTAAACAAAAATCTAAAAGTAAGCAAAACTCAAAAATTGAGAACCCAAGAAATCCTTTGTCGTCATCCCACCTCCTCATCGCATGTGCTTCATTTCTTTGAGGTCGTAGCGGTGACCTAGCATCCAGAATCGTCTCCTTTCCTCCAACCCAAATGATCACATATCCTACATCACTCTTTCACTCTTCTCCTTAATTTCACGTCACTTATCTCCACTTCTGCTTGCATCGCTTTACTTCCACCATTGCAAATCCGAGAACCTCAGGCTTTGCAGAGCTGTGAAGTTCCTCCAAATTCCATAATAGCAAATCCGAAAATCGCCTCCATTCATCTCCCCTGCTGCAGATTCTAGATCTCTGACGCTTGTTACTCTATCGGTGAGTAACACGATTTCAATCCAACCTATGCATTTGATGGGAATTGCAGTAACGAATCCGAGAAATGCAATGTGTTCTAGCTAGGGGTGTCCATTCGAGTTCGGTTTTTCGGGTTTACCTGAAACTGACCCGATATATACATTTTCGGTTTTTCGGTTTCGGGTTCGGTTTTGCTTATCGGTTTTTCGGGTTCCGGCTAAAAACGTCCAATGAATAGAACTTAACCCGTATTCTTAGGCATTCGGATTTTCGGGTTTCGATTTTGCTTTAACCGAACCCGAACCCGATAAGGAATTCTCGGGTTTCGGATAACCGGAACCCGCAAGTCCTTATCGAGTTCGGTTCGGTTTTAGTGGTTTTTGGTTTCGGGTTTTTCAGGTTTTGGTTCGGGTACCCGCACCCGACCCGAACTGACACCCCTAGTTCTAGCATTCTTATGCCACTGTTTGCTTTAGTGTACTCCGCTACTTTGCGGTGGAGGAAGTGAAGAGAGAAGGGTGTAACACCCTAGTCCGGTCGGACACTACTATTACCAAAACACTCTTATTAAATTGTTAACCATAATGAGAACTAACAAGACCGGGAAATTTTGCGGGAAACTTTTGATAAATATCCTTTAATAAATACTTCAAAATTCAAATAAAATTTGCTTGAAACTTACATACGAAGAAATCATAAATACTCTTAATACATTTGCATCAAGTCTCAAGTCCTACTAAATACACGAGATCGAAATCTTCGCACTGGAGTAGTTTAGAGCCATTGATCATCGACGCGAATTGCTGCCCCTCTAAGCATACTATTGAGCTTCTGCACTTCCTGAACTCGATTTGGCAGTACCGCTGTCGCTGTTGCGATTGTTGTGAAGAAGAGAGAGCTCCGGAGGAGAAGAGTTGTTAGAGGAAGGAGAGAGTGGGGGAGGAAAGTTTAATTTGTTGTTTTTTGGATTTTTTTTAATTTTTGTGATATTTTGTCAATTTACCCTTTTACCCTGTTGTTACTGCAACAATTCTAGTGTTGTTATACTATCCGCACCCTCAGTTTCAACCATTTTGTGATTCCCACAAATGAAGAAGGCATGGTGTGGATTGATTTTGCTATTCTATAGTATTTCATAAAATATATAATTTGTCGTGATCCTAAACTTTGGTGTCTTTTCTAATGTACTCAATAATAATCCGAATTATTGGTATTGCAAGAAACCAATATGATTTTGAATCAAAGGACACCATTCACGATTTTAAAATGAGATTCTTCTCCTTTGCAATTTTTTTTTATGAAAACGCCTGCAGAGCCCCACTACCTTTTATTCAATAATCGAACGTACAGTGAAACCCACTTATCGAGTCAAAAAGAGCCCAACGACAAGTATCGGGATGAGAAACATCAATTACATGGTGGCATAGAGTGCCCCATGTGAGCTAGACAGTCAGCCAAGAAATTGGTTTCATGATAAACATGGATGAGGCGGACTTCGTAGGAGGTCCTAGAAGGCCAAGGTAAGACTCGCGTGCTGGTGGTTATGTTGGCTGTTGCTCTGCAATTCCACTTGGCGGTGGTCTGCATCCCACGCCATTTAGAGGCCTCTGAGCGCCCCCCTAAAGTTCTGCACGAGTAATGGATCACTTCTCCTTTACAAATTAAATGATGCATTTATAGTTAATCCGTGGCGCCACATATCTAGTTATGATTATTAGCAAAAGTTCATTTCATTTAGGGGTGGTATTCGGTAGGTAACCGGTGGTTTTCAGTATACCGAGTGTGAGTAAGTGGGAATCGATTACCGATACCGATTTGTAACCGGATTACCGGTAAACGGTTACAAACCGGTTTTACCGAATTGGTTTGGCTGTCTTCAAAGCTTCGTAATGCAATGGGGACTCTTACTCTTAAGTCTCGAGGATGGGACTGCTTTGTGCTTTGGCACGTCGTATTCTCGGCAACAATAATCTGTTTTCATTTATTTGGGGGGATGGACAGAGATTTAGAGGACAGTTTTTTAAAATATTCACTCAATTATGTCACGTATAACGAAAAAGTTAAATTAACCTATTCGTTACCAAAATACCACTTCTCCTACTATCTTCTCTTCAGGGCCACACAACACAATGCCAAAGGGTAGAGCAACGGGAAAGACGACAAAACAAAACACTTCAATCATTCATAATGTAGTTTGATATTGTAGTCAGCTTTGATCATCAAGGAAAGAAGAAGAAAGATATTTATCAAACAGATGACTCATCTTATGTATTCACTCTAAAATACAGAAATAAAAAACAACAACATACTATTTTACTAACAGGCCTCAGCATCAATGTCTGAATCATCACTAACATCAACAATCTTTGGATCAATCACTCCAGTATTCAGTCTAAAACAGATTTATCAATCAGATGCAACATCTGATGTATTCAGTCTAAAAAAGAAATAAAAAACAACAAACTAGTTTACTTACAAGACTGTCTAAATCACCATAACTGGCCTATGCATCATTGTGTACCATCACCAATCTCTTCATCACTCCAGTATTCAGTCTAAAACAGATTTATCAATCAGATGCCACATCTGATGTATTCAATCTAAAAAAGAAATCAAAAACAGCAAACTAGTTTACTTACAAGACTGTCTGAATCACCATAACTGGCCTATGCATCATTGTGTGAATCATTCACTACCATCACCAATCTCTTCATCACCCTATCCTGCAGCAGCTCATAATACGGAATGTCTCCAAATATCTTCAAATCTATTCTTGATCACCCACTCCTGCAGCAGTAGGATCAACGACTAGGTCAATATATGGGATGCCTCCAAATATCACCAACAACTCTGCTCTGGTGGCATCTCTGTCATCATCAGTAAGGGGCTCGACCAGTTCTTGCAACACACGAATATGTCAATATCCAGCTCCAAGTTTCCTGCCTTCGTACAGTGTAGTAAGGGCACCAACAATCAATTCTATGGCATAATGAGACCTTCCCTTAAGTAAAAAATTATGGACTTCAGGCCTCCTCATAAAGAGGAGGACCTGCCTCACAAGTACTGGATCAAGGCTAGCTCCAACCAAAAACAGCTCCACAGCATTACTGGCTTGAATGACAGGAGCTGCATAACCAGCAGAAAGAGGTCTTGCAAGTGCATTGGCAATCTTAAACTGTACCAACATCTCAGGAGTTACTTCATCTCTGTTCACTCTAGCTTTTCCCCTCTTTGCGAGATCTATAAGCGAGGTGTACTTGTCCTTCACTTGTACGCTCGTTTGGTAGCTAGATGACAAATATTCTTCACTAATCTCTTGCCACTTTCCTTTTCCATACTTGAACAAACCAGATATTACATTCTTCACCTCCAGTCTGGTCCAGTTACGGTTGGACCTTGTTGGATAAGCCTTGATGTCCAGGATGTGCCCCACGACATCTTGCCGGGCAAGGGTAATAAACTGGGTAGCTGCACCAGAACATAGCTGAAATTCGACGGCATTATCTAACATCTGACGATAAAGAGGATCCTGAACATTCTCATTCTGCCCACGAGCAATCTGTATAATGGAATGTAGCAGTTCCAAAGCCAAGTTGGCACTCACAATCTCTAGCAGTTTCTTCAAATCTTGCCGTGCCAAGAGGTCAAAGACCCTCTTCTGCTGTGGAATAGACAACCCTTTCAGGGGAATCATGACAACTGAATCCATAGCTGAAGAAGAAAAAACAGGTTATCAGGTCGATTCAGAAGGCACTCAGATGAAAGAAACCATAGAACTCGCAAACGTGCACACTATGAATCGAAAGTCGAATAAACCCTAAGAAACACCAAGTAACCCTGGATCGAAGACAATCAATCGGTGGGAAACGAAACCCAAAGGCGACATACATCAAAAACAATTATGTCAACTGAATCAATAGCTGAAGAAGAAAAAACAGGTTATCAGATCGATTCAGATAGCACTAAGATGAAAGAAACCATAGAACTCGATAACGTGAACAGTATGAATCGAAAGTCGAATAAACCCTAAGAAACACCAAGTAACCCTGGATCGAAGACGAAGACAACCAATCGGTGGGATACCAAACCCAAAGGCGACGGACATCGAAAACAATCAGTCAGAGTCAAAGTGTAATCGAAAACAATTAGATCCTCGGGCGAATCAGAGATATTGCGGCACTATAAGGAACGAAGGTCGAATAAACCCTAGATCGAAGACAGCCAATCGGTTGGAAACCAAACTACAACAGCAACGTGTTGGGCCCGCCAAATGGCAAAAAGAAAAAAAAAGAAGGTGCAGAAGTCTTCAGCTGGCGGTGGTAATTGATTAAAAAAAAAAATTACAAAAGTCAGATGAAGCAGGTGAATTCCCAACCACCTTCTCCATTTTTGTTCCCTCTTCTTCTGCTATAAAAGGCAACGAGTTTGGCCTCTGAAAATCATCCCTCTCCATTCCCTTTCCTCTCCTTTGTGCTCTGCTTCTGTTCGTATTTCTTTTGTGGGTTTTGGTAGTGAAATAGTGAGGAGAAGATAGGAGAATTCTTGTGAGTGAAATAGTGAGGTTGTTCCAGGAAACACCGAGTGTTCTATTTCCTTGTATCTTGAAATTCTCTGTAACCTACTGTTGCAATAGTAAAGAAATACTCCGGAGCTGCTGTTCCCGTGGACTGGCCCAAAATCAGGGTATACCACGTAAATCCTCGGTGTCATTTATTATTTATGCTTGTTGTGTTTTTGAGAATAGTCGTAGTATATTGCGTTATTAAATTACCGAAGTAAATTGATCTAAGTAAGTTGGTTACCGTAATTCTGGAGGCTTGCCCCCAGGTCCAATTTACCTGTGAACTTTTTACAAGCGTGTGATTTTTTAATCCAATATATTTACCCGCTATTCTCACCTGCTGCGCCCAACAAGTGGTATCAGAGCCACGTCCAATGGAGGCAAAAACAAGCAAGATGATAAGTCTGAATGGCTCCAACTATCACATATGGAGAAACAAGATGAAGGATCTCCTACTCGTGACGGAGTTGCATTTGCCGGTGTTTAGCCCAACTAAACCTGATGGCAAAACTGAAGAGGAATGGGAGTTCAAGCATGAGCAAGTATGTGGCTACATTCGACAGTTCGTCGACGATAATGTATACAACCACATTAGCGGAGAAAATCATGCCAGAACTCTGTGGAACAAGCTGGAGGCACTTTATGCATCAAAGACCGGCAACAACAAATTATTTTATCTGACCAAGTTGGTCCAGATGAAATACAAGGAAGGCAAATCCTTGGCGGATCACTTGAACGAAATTCAAGGGATCGTGGATCAGTTGTCCGGTATGGGCATAAAGATGGAAGATGAGGTGGTCGCTCTCCTCGTTCTGGCTTCCCTTCCAGAATCTTGGGAGACGCTAAAAATTTCACTTACCAACTCTGCGAAAGATGGAGTTATCAACATGGAGATCGTCAAAAGTGGGGTTCTGAATGAAGAGATGCGGAAAAGATCACAAGGTGCATCCTCATCATCTTCCCAGTCAGACCTTTTGACAGTGGATTCCAGAAGCAGAGGAAGAAGTGAAGCGAGAGGCTCAAAGCAAAGAGGCAAGAGTCGAGGGAAGTCCAACAAGTTTGCCAACATCCAATGTCATCACTGCAAGGAAAAGGGCCACATCAGAAGATTTTGCCCAAAGTTCAGAAATGAGAGAAAGAAGGGCAAACGAGATGAGAATAGTGATGATGATGGTGCAAACTCTGTTGATGAGTTCAATATTGTCTACGAGGAAGATGTTGTCAACCTGACAACCCAGGAGACAAGCTGGGTGGTTGATAGTGGTGCTACCATCCACGTGACGTCCAAGAGAGAATTTTTCTCATCTTACACACCAGGTGACTTTGGTGTAGTAAGAATGGGAAATGGTAATCTTTCCAAAGTTATTGGAAAAGGAGAAGTCTGCTTGGAGACGATGAATGGTACGAAGCTACTGCTGAAGGATGTCAGGCATGTTCCAGAAATGCGCCTGAATCTCATCTCTGTAGACAAGTTGGATGAGGAAGGTTACTGCAACACCTTCCACAATGGCCAGTGGAAACTCACCAGAGGCTCCTTGGTGTTGGCCAAGGGCAAGAAGCTGTCAAAGCTGTATGTGACGGAAGCCAAGATCTCCCCAGAGATTGTCAACTCAGCGGAGAATGGTGACACAATTGAATTGTGGCACAAACGGCTCGGTCACATGAGTGAGAAGTCCATGGCAAAGTTGGCCCAGAAGAAAGTCATAATTGGGTTGGATCATGTTCACCTAAAGAAATGTGTCGATTGCCTTGCGGGAAAGCAAAACCGAGTTGCTTTCAAAAGTTTCATCCCTTCAAGAGTGAAGAACGTGTTGGGTCTAGTTCACTCAGATCTCTGTGAACCCGATGTCAACGTCAAATCACTTGGAGGTGCCAGATATTTCGTGACATTCATTGATGACCATTCACGGAAGACTTGGGTGTATACCTTGAAGACCAAGGATCAGGCCCTAGACGTTTTTAAACAATTCCTGGTCCTGGTGGAGAGGGAAACTGGCAAGAAGCTGAAGTGCATCCGGACTGACAATGGTGGAGAGTACAGAGGTCCGTTTGCTACCTTCTGCAAGGAACATGGAATTCGGCAGCAATTCACACCACCAAAGACGCCGCAATTGAATGGGCTAGCTGAGAGGATGAACATGACCCTGCTAGAGAGAGTCAGGTGCTTGTTATCACACTCGAAGCTACCACAATCTTTCTGGGGGGAGGCACTGCTTGCAGCAGTTTATGTATGGAACAGGTCACCCAGTGTGCCATTGAAGTATGACGCCCCAGAGAAGGTGTGGACAGGAAAAGAAGTTTCCTACAAACATTTGCGGGTGTTTGGTTGCAAGGCCTTTGTCCATATTCCAAAGGATGAAAGGTCAAAGTTGGATTCAAAGACGCGACAGTGCGTATTCATTGGCTATGGTCAAAATGAGTTTGGCTATAGATTCTTTGATCCAATCCAGAAGAAGCTTATCAGAAGCCGTGATGCTGTGTTCATCGAAAATGAGACCATCGAAGATGTTGTTGCTAGGAAATAAGTTCCTAGTACTGATGCTAGTCAACCAAGCCTTGGGCTAGTACCTCCAACGCCGGCGCTTACAGAAGTTGGAGAAGAAGCACAACATGATCAGCCTGAAATAGTTGAACAAGATGCTCCTGTAGAGGTTCAACCAGAAGATGCTGATGACGATGGTCAACCACCAGCCATTGAGGGTTCTCCTGTTCAAATGAGGAGATTTGGTAGGGTCACACGACGCTCTACCAGATATCCTGAGACTGAATACGTGTCACTTACTGACGGGGGAGAACCAGAAAGTTTCACAGAAGCTATGAATGATGAACACAAGCAAAGGTGGATAGAAGCCATGCAAGACGAGATGGATTCCTTGTATGAGAACAAGACATTTGAGCTGGTGAAATTGCCCAAAGGCAAGAGAGCTTTGAAGAACAAGTGGGTGTTCAAGATTAAACATGATGAACACAACCGTCAGCCACGCTTCAAAGCCAGACTAGTCGTGAAAGGCTTCAGTCAAAGGAAAGGCATTGACTTTGACGAGATATTTTCACCTGTGGTGAAGATGACATCCATTCGTACTGTGTTGGGACTAGCAGCAAGTCTTAACCTGGAGGTTGAACAAATGGATGTGAAAACTGCTTTCCTTCATGGTAATTTGGAGGAAGAGATTTACATGGAGCAACCAGAAGGCTTCAAGAAGGAGAAAAAGGAGGACTATGTGTGCAGGCTCCGTAAGAGCTTGTATGGCTTGAAGCAGGCACCAAGACAGTGGTATAAGAAGTTTGAGTCTGTTATGGGAGAGCAAGACTACATGAAGACTACTTCAGACCACTGCGTGTTCGTGAAGAAATTTCCTGATGGAGATTTCATCATACTTTTGCTCTATGTGGATGATATGCTAATTGCTGGGCAAAACGTCTCAAAGATCAATGATTTGAAGAAGGAGTTGAGCAAGTCTTTTGCCATGAAAGACTTGGGACCAGCAAAGCAAATTCTTGGCGTGAGGATCGTTCGGGATCGAGGTGCCAAGAAGATATGGTTGTCACAAGAGAAGTACATTGAGAAAGTACTTCAACGTTTCAACATGGATAATGCTAAGGCGGTTAGCTGTCCTCTTGCTAACCACTTTATATTGACATCCAAACAGAGCCCGTCTACGGAGAAGGAAAAGGCGGAGATGGATAAAATTCCATATGCTTCAGCAGTGGGAAGTTTGATGTACGCCATGGTGTGTACAAGGCCAGATATTGCTCATGCAGTTGGAGTTGTCAGTCGGTTTCTTTCCAAACCAGGAAAGGAACATTGGGAAGCTGTGAAGTGGATCCTCAGATACCTTCGAGGTAGCTCCAAAATGAGTCTATGTTTTGGAGATGGTGAACCTGTCCTTGTTGGCTATACAGATGCTGACATGGCAGGTGATGTTGATTCGAGGAGGTCCACTTCTGGGTACCTGATTACCCTATCAGGGGGAGCAATATCGTGGCAGTCAAGGCTACAAAAATGTGTAGCTCTTTCCACAATAGAAGCTGAGTACATAGCAACAACGGAAGCGTGCAAGGAGATGATCTGGATGAAGAAGTTCTTGAAAGAACTTGGGTTTCAACAAGAACAACCGCAGTTGTTCTGTGACAGTCAAAGTGCTATTCATCTTGCGAAGAATGCTTCATTTCATGCCCGATCAAAACATATCGATGTTCGATATCATTGGATAAGAGATGTGCTCGAAATGAAGCAGCTACAACTGGAGAAGATCCATACTGACGAAAATGGATCTGACATGTGTACCAAGACTCTTCCAAGAGAAAAGTTTGAGTTCTGTCGATCAGCTGCAGGGATGACGAAGACACCCATGTAGTCGGGCGGGGGAGATTTGTTGGGCCCGCCAAATGGCAAAAAGAAAAAAAAAGAAGGTGCAGAAGTCTTCAGCTGGCGGTGGTAATTGATTAAAAAAAAAATTACAAAAGTCAGATGAAGCAGGTGAATTCCCAACCACCTTCTCCATTTTTGTTCCCTCTTCTTCTGCTATAAAAGGCAACGAGTTTGGCCTCTGAAAATCATCCCTCTCCATTCCCTTTCCTCTCCTTTGTGCTCTGCTTCTGTTCGTATTTCTTTTGTGGGTTTTGGTAGTGAAACGTTTTCACTACCACAGGTAGATAGGAGAATTCTTGTGAGTGAAATAGTGAGGTTGTTCCAGGAAACACCGAGTGTTCTATTTCCTTGTATCTTGAAATTCTCTGTAACCTACTGTTGCAATAGTAAAGAAATACTCCGGAGCTGCTGTTCCCGTGGACTGGCCCAAAATCAGGGTATACCACGTAAATCCTCGGTGTCATTTATTATTTATGCTTGTTGTGTTTTTGAGAATAGTCGTAGTATATTGCGTTATTAAATTACCGAAGTAAATTGATCTAAGTAAGTTGGTTACCGTAATTCTGGAGGCTTGCCGCCAGGTCCAATTTACCTGTGAACTTTTTACAAGCGTGTGATTTTTTAATCCAATATATTTACCCGCTATTCTCACCCGCTGCGCCCAACACAACGTACATGGAGAACAATCTACCGGAGCGAAAGCGTAATCATAAACAATCAGTTTCTCGGCAGAATCGGAGATATTGCGGCAGAGTAAAGTAGAGGAAGATCACCTACGACGACGGACGACAAAGAGCTGGGAATAAGGATCGAGAAGGCGGGGCAGAGATGGAGCACTCTGTGAAGCAAGAGACAATTAAACCCCCAAGAAACGAAGTCAGTCGCAACGGACAATGAAAACAATCAGTCGGAGTGCAAGCGAAATCGAAAACAATGGAGGAATCGTAGATACAGTGGAAGAAAGAGTAGGCGAATTTCACCTGCGGCACCGGCGGAAAACAGCGGGAGACAGGACTGAGGCGGAGGAGCTGAGAGCGAAAGATTCGGCGGGACGTTTTCTTGTTTCTTCTTTCGCTTGGGAGAGGAAAAGGGGTGAAAGAAAGGGGAAAACGGTTTGCTTTCAAAATGATCTGGGCGGGAATTATATTACCGCCGACTTACTTTTTCTTTTGGGCCCTTCAACATAGCTGGGCCGTCTTGGGTTTTCGAAGGCTGGAAAATAGCTACTTGTCTTAACCACCCAAAAACTTAACAGATGGAGAAGAGTTTTTATATATATATTTTTTTTATTGGGAAATATACCGATCCAAATAACCATCTTCTAAAGAGCCAACTATGTTAGTGTTGTGGTATATGATTCACGATTGAACCTCTTCCAACAACTCGAGTTATTGGGAGCAACTGGTTCTTTACAATATCAGCCTTTTGTGACCGAGAGGTCTCGTGTTCGTTCTCGGTGACCCCCCATTTGTTAAGCACATGATATTTTTGTCTTCAGACCTGTGCAAACTTCAAGCCCTTGTGAGTGGCTTTCGTTTGAGGGGATGTGTTAGTGTTGTGGTATATAATCCACGATTGAACCTCTCCCAACAACTCGAGTAATTGGGACCAACTGGTTTATGACATGGTATCAAAGCTGATTTGACCAAGTGGTCGTGTGTTCGAATCTCCACGACCCCCAATATTAGCAGTTGTCTTCAAGCACGTGGTATGGTGGGCCTGTGCAAACTTCAAACACATGAGTCGGCTTTCGTTTGAGGGGGCGTGTTAGAGAGTGGTATAAGATCCATCATAACCGTCTCCCAACAACTCGAGTTATTGGGAGCAACTGGTTTATGACATTCGGTAAGTAAGTCGGGACGAAGGGATTAGAACAAGAATCAATTGGAAATAGATCATTGGATGATGTATGGTTGCAAATGAGTGAAACTGCTTACAAGTGGTTTGGTGTTCTATTCGGAAAAAGTTCGTTCGGTACTTGATTCACTTATAACGTGTCTAGTCTGACCTAATTCTTGTTCAGCTAGCAAGACTCATGAGGTAGCTCGACTTGATCACCTGTTGAGCTCAGCTCTTGAGCTAGCTCGTTTTGAGCTACAAGCTGACTCGATAATATGGCTAGCGAGTCATCTTAATTAGCAACTTATGAGCGAATTAATTAAAAGTTTTCATTGTTTTGTTGATAATTATAGGTTTGTTAGAGTTATATTTTCCCACATATATGATGTTCAAGAATCTGAGCACGTGATCAAATATGTCTCATTTACAATTAAAAAGAGAAATTGTGAGCCATAAATTGCACAGAAACTAATTACTATTAAATAACATGATATGAACAATTAAAATTTATGAACTAAATGATATGATTCATGAGTTTGAGCTGATCTCGCGAGTTAACTGATGAGCCGAACTCGAGTAGAGCTCGTGAACTCACTATTGAGACGAGTTCGAGTCAAACACAAGCCAAAATTTTCGTAAACAAGCGGAGTTCGAACTTGAATCATTCATCACCGAGCCGAGCTCAAACTTGGTCAAAAAAAACTCAGCTCGGCTAGACTTATCTGCAGTCTTAGTTGAATGGCATACTACTTATCGGTTTTGTTATAAATAATATGTTTGTATTTTTAATAAACAACTAGCGCCCATGGCCTAATGGATAAGGCGCTTGACTTCTAATCAAGCGATTGTGGGTTCGAGTCCCACTGGGCGTGATATTTTTGCTTTGAATTGCTTTGAACAAAAACTAGATTTACTGTGTTGCATTTTGGGTTTTCCATGGTTTTAAGAAGTTTCAAATCCATGGTATTTTTGCTTTGAGTTGCTTTGAACAAAAAATAGATCGTTAGCATTTGCTGCGTTGCATTTTGGGTTTTCTATGGTTTTAAGAAGTTCCAAATCCATACCTTGTCAACTCAAACACTTGTACTAAGCTCAAATCATATCACTCAAAACCGAATCATTCAAATTATACTCTCAAAGATCGAGAGCTCAAGTGATACCCATTACAATCAAACGGGAACTAAGATTAAATATTCTTCAGATCATGGCTTACAATAAGGACGAATGAGTATGAATAAAAATATTCAAACCTTGCTGGATTAACTAATAGAGTGCCTTCAATACATTTATCCAAACCATGACAAAAAAAAACTAGAATCCCCAGAAAGTAGAAGCTAACCACTGCAAAAATTACCTCCCAAGAACATATTATATATGTATGAACCCCCCTAAAGAACACTAAACAAGACCTTTTCTAGATAGTGCACTTGACCCATCATCATCGTCTGATTCAAACAGTCAGATACGTCTTGAGAAGCTTAAGATTACGACTAGGAATTAAAACAAAAATAACCAAAAACTGAAAAGGAGAGGACAGCAATAAGTTAAGAACAGCGCTTGCATAAATAAGAACAGAAAAGATGAGAAACCTCTTCTCTTCCTTCCTTCTCAACGCAACACCAAAATATTTCCACTTGGTACTCTCTTCACAGGAGATCGGCGACATTGGAAGGCAGCTCCTCGATCATAACATTGTAGAACTTCTGGATGTCAAACAGCATCCTCTCATCGTCCTTAGTCACAAAGTTAATGGCAACACCCTTCCTCCCAAACCTTCCACCTCTTCCAATACGATGGAGGTAGTTCTCTGGTTGAGTCGGCAGATCATAGTTAATGACGAGAGACACTTGCTGCACGTCGATACCACGAGCCAGGAGATCGGTGGTGATCAGGACACGGGAAGATCCAGACCGGAACTCCCTCATGATGATGTCACGGGTGTTCTGGTCCATGTCACCATGAGTCGCTGAGACGGTGTGGTCACGCGCTCTCATCTTGTCAGTGAGCCAGTCGACCTTGCGTCTTGTATTAACAAATATGACGCTCTGGGTGATTGCTAGGGTTTCATAGAGATCACAGAGGGTCTCGAGCTTCCAGTCTTCCTTCTCGACATTGACATGGAACTGCTTGATACCTTCCAAGGTTAGCTCATCACGTTTGACCAAGATCCTGACCGGCTTGTTCATGAACTTCCTGGTGATCTCGAGAGCCTCAGGGGGCATAGTGGCAGAGAAGACGCCTATCTGGACTTTGGCAGGAAGCAACTGGAAGATATCATAGATCTGGAAACGGGCCAATAAAACAAAGTCAGTTCAGAAGCTGGATAAATAAAGAGAAGTACAGATGTGGCTAGTAGGTTGGCTTGGTGGGTTAGCTTGATATTTGCCATTTCTAATATAAAAATGGTAGGAGGCTACAGTTACTTGCAGAACTGACCTGATCCTTAAAACCACGGGAAAGCATTTCGTCAGCTTCATCAAGAACAAACATCTTGATGTAATCTGGACGAAGGGACTGCCTCCTCAACATGTCAAATACACGACCAGGGGTACCGACAACAACATGAACACCAGCTTGGAGAATACGTTGGTCCTCGCGAACACTGGTCCCACCAACACAAGCATGAACCTTCACCCCAAGATAATCTCCAAGTGCCCTCATGACCTTCTCAATCTGTTGAGCAAGTTCCCTAGTGGGAGCCAGGACGAGTGCTTGGCACTGGACTATATTATAATCAAGCTGCTGCAGTATTCCAGAGCAGAAAGTCGCTGTTTTCCCAGTTCCTGACTGAGCCTGCTGAATGACGTCAAGTCCCTTGCAGAAAGGGACAATACCCCTCTGTTGGATGGCAGATGGCTTCTCAAAACCTGAATCATAGGATTGGGAATGGACAATCAGAATCATCAAATAACATTACTTGAGTGTCCACTCGGCTTCTATTCCCACAGGAGTGCAGAACTTACCATAAGCATAGATACCCCTAAGCAGATTTTCTTGCAATCCCATTGCATCAAAACTTTCATAGACTTCGTCATACGCAGTGAAGAAATCTTGCGCATCACTTGAGAGCCTGGAAGATTTTTTAGAACGTATATCAGGCCATCAGGCTGACGTCACAAGCAAGACCACGGAACATGCTACTATCCTCAATCTGCAGACTGAAAATAGTACACAGAACTTACAGCTCAGTCATCTTCTTATCAAATTGACGAGCATCAAACTGCGAGCCTTCTGGTGCCTCACCTGCCATAACTGCAAAACAGAAAACTACTTATTTTACTCGCATATCGAAGTGAAATGATAACGACAGTGGAAAAATAGCACATGACAATATAACTGAAGCAGAGACTACAGCAAAATGAAACAATTCTAGGTTACTTACTACTATAGAGCAGGAAGAGCAAAAATTCTAAGTGTCAGAGAAGAGCCAAACTTGTAAGCCAAACAACAAAAGGATTACAAGCATTGAACTTCTGCATCTATATCTGGAGAAGCTGAGCATAGGGGGTAAACAGCCCTCAGATACAAAGAAAAAGGCAAGGTGCTCACTTGCTTCCCCAGATTATCAAGCCAATGAAACACCCACCACCAGACATAAAAGTCATCATCTTTAAGCACACCATACTTCACTATAAAACACTCTAGCAAGAAGAGCAGAAATTCTAAGCGCCGCAGAAGAGCCAAACTTATAAACCAAATAACATAAGGATTACAAGCATTAAACTTCTGCTTCTATATCTGGCGAAGCTAGGGATAAGGGGAAACAGCCATCTGATACAAAGAAAATTACAAAGTGCAACACCAGAGACTGTTTTACCCGCTTCGTCAGAGTATCAAACCAACGAAACACCACTCACCACACATAAAAGACATCATCTTAACTAACACTATTTAGAGATGAATCCGTCATCTCATGCCACAGTCCAATATTACATCAGATATTTACCCACCAAGCATCAGATAGTTATAGTTAGAAGTTAGAACAGTTATCGAAGGTCACAATCAAGCCAGCTAATGAGGAAACTCTGTGAATAAATTAACATCATAATCTCACTACCAATTCAAGAGCCAGAACGTTAAATGAATAGATCAACCACAGTTCAGAAAGAAAACAATATCTATTTCCCAATCAAACCCAGGAAATCACAACCCGAATAAGCCACAATCCACACTCCTGTTTTCCCTCGAAAAATTCAACACCCAAACTGTCGGACATTAAAAAAAAAAAATTCGATCTTTCTGACAGATCTCTCCATCACCAAATCAACCCAGAACTCCAAACAACGATAAGAACTGAGAATGCAACACAACAAACACAAAGAGCAAAAAAGCGCGGCGAGCTGGTTTTACCTGAGTGTTGATGATTGAGAAGAGAGCTAAACGCGATTTGCTGAGAGAGTAATAGAGGTGGCCGGGCGAAAGCGGAACAGTATACTTCTGATGATAAAATTAGGGTTTTCTGAATCCCAAACTCCTCGGATCTGTGCCGTGGAGTTTGTAGAGAGAGAAACAGAGTGACTCAGTGCGTTCCAGTTTATAGTGTAACTGTCACTTTTCCACAAACCCATTGTAGCCCAAACAATAAAGAAAACAAAAATTTTTGCCTGATTTACGGATTTGCCCTTGGACTTTCTTGTACGTTTTTCAGTTGTTTATTTTCTATCTCGGGTCGGGGATTCAGGAGTTAGGTAACCGGTCCGTATGGTTTGATCCTGACCGAATCATATATACGGTTTATATTCATATTGATAGACCTGGCAAATTACAACCCGACCCGTTGACCTGATCCGAATCCGTCCGAATAGTAGAAGTTTTAATAACCAGAAAGACCCAAACCCGATAACCCGCAATTTTTTGGGTCGGGTTGGGTGGGTTAGCGGGTCGACCCGTTAGACCCGCTCCATTTTATATATCACTCCCAAAATGATAAAACCACTCTTAAATTTGTGAGATATTTAAATAAATTCACATGGATTTGAATGACATATGTTTGGAGGTTAAGGATAATCAAATATCATGTGTTTCTTGTAATAACATTACTCTTGTGATTGTTTTTTGACGATTTGTGTAATTTGTATTTCATTTAATTAGCATGGGAAGATTTGAGAATATGTTAATGGACATGTGTTAGGTAAAGCGTTGTTATGCATTTGTGAAAATTTGTGTCTTGAAGAAAATATGAAGCATGCTTGATATTGTTTCTGAGAACGCTAATAACCCGAAACGACCTGTAACCCGACCCGAAACCGAATGGGTTGAGTCAATATTTGACCCGAAATTAGTCTAGCAAACAAGACCCGAAACCGAAAGTCTCGACCCGAAATTACCCAACCCGACCCAATTGCCAGGTCTGATATTGAGAAGCTGGAGTATAGATCATAAATTATAAAGTGCAGACCAAATCACGTATGTCTAGTCCGGTACGGTGGTGTAGATAGTCCATTAATAATTCATTTTTAACTCCTCTCCTTTCTGGACCTTTCCACATTTTTCCTTCCACCATTCTTCCGTTCCATTTTTTTACTGGCAATAACACCGAAACCGACAACTATCCCCAATCCTGAATATAAGAGATGACACAACTCGAAATAGAGAACTGTATCTGAACCATTTAACTAACGGAACATGTCAATGCAACTACTTAATAGTTCAACTTCTAACTGCAATTCAAACAACCAACAAACTGCAAATGATCAGGTTCATGACCAAACAACACTCTCTGTCTGATCCATTATTGTTACGGAAATATCGAAATATATATGCTCATATAAAAGAGAAGTTCTAAATTTCCCAGCAGCAAGCAACTCAATGATCGGAATCGATCACTTCACAGTCGCCCCCATTTCTGCAGATTCTTGAATGCTTCAGCTCAGAATTTTTGCACTTCAATTTCTTCTGCCCTCGTGATCTTCCTCTTCTTTCGACTCGGTTCCTGAATTCAGTCAAAGATGTTAGTTGCAATCTACTCATTATCTCAGTGATTAATAGGGTATGCAAATTAAAATATACTTACAGCAGCAGAGTTGACCAATGCCTTTCTCTTACTTGGAGGCTCATCCTTCACTTGCTTACGAACAAAATTATACAGCACGAAGGTAATGACTTCAGTCACAGAGCGAAATGTCACATTGAAATCCTGGTGGGAATAATACTGTGTACAAAACATGTTAGCTTCCCACAAATGTGACAACCCAACACAAACTTGGTTACACATTAATCATCAGAACAGAAAAAATAAAACTTTTTTATAGATTACCGCATCAAATGTATTGAGATTGGACGCTCGCTGCTTAAGCTCCATGGTCCAGCCTTGGAGCCTTCTAGCCATAGACAGTTGAACTGGATGCTTATGTTCCATCATCACTCGCATTTCCTCTCGATTCATCATCCACTGTTGAAAGGAAAATACATGAACAATGGATAACCTTAACACGAAATGATCAGTTCAGAGCAGGTTGTTCGTAATTTACCTTTTCGAGACCGTGCAGATTAGCCATAATATCTGCAGGAATGTCTGAAGAAATTGGCACTGGCTTTTTTCCACAAGATATAGCAGGTTGTTTCTTTTTCTTTTTCTCCAACGGATAGGCCTGCAGAGAGAGCAGAGAAGTTTATATAGGGAATGAACCATCAAACAAGAACATAATGTGTACTGCTATGAACACATCTAGTGAAAGCAACCTAGCTATGTACCTTGTCGTCATTAGATGATCCCTCTGGTGAACGAAAGGCGATGGGTTCTGCTTCAATTGCAACGCCAATGTTCTTCTTTTGGCTTTCCCTTTGAAAAGCTTTTTTGGCCGCCTGGAGAAGGCAAAACCAGCAAGGCGCGAAGTATGGTTTGAATCTAGTAATGATAACCGAGTAATTACGAAGAGAATAGCATACTAGCTTACCTTGATATAATCTTTAATTTTCAAGGATAGTATGGCTACATCTTCTTTGTAGTTGCGCTCCACTTCTGGTAAGATGGTGGGATCCTTTGTGTCTAGATTAATCTGCTGTTTAGGTGAAACATGATCGGTGGCTACATCTTCTGCATTGTTTTTCTCCTGTTCTGGGATGGTAAAGGAATTTTTTGCCTGATCTGTGTCATGATCAATATGCTTTCCATCAACTTTGTCGGGTATGGCAGGTATGTCTTCTTCATAAGTATGCTCAACTTCTGGTAGCTTAGCAGAGTTCTCGGTTTGGCTTGTGTTCCGATTGAGCAAATCAGAGTTCTCCATCTGGTTTGTGTTCTCATGAAGCATCTAATTGGAAGAATGAACACGACATAATATTCGATCGATAAAAACTATTCATTCGTGATTATTGTGATTATTGTGGTACAAAGTAATTAATGGAACACCTCATGTATTAATGTAAAACTTACTCAAAGTTTAAATTCTAACTTACCGAATCAAGAACTCATACGTACAATCTAAGAAGGTTTAAATAGAAGCAAAAAAAATGATAGTTTTTAATTCATAATTCATCTATAATGGATGTTTGTATGGTCTTACAAGTTACAGACATTGATACAGAGGGTTCATAAACATATATTAGCATGTACTTGTTTATGACTTAATTTTCTAGTTGTGGTGCATCATCTCTTGTATAGAGAAGTCCTTTATAAATGTGCCCTAATACCAACAAAATGGGGGAAACGCCACAATAGTATCCGGGTATGCAAACCGTGAACAAAAGCCAAAGAAATCAATCATGAACATACACAAAACCAAACTCAAAACTAACATCTAACACAAGACCTTGAAATAAAGAAAAACCCATTGTAAAAATTGTGTCAAAATAAACCAAACGAACCCTAACTAACACTCAATCTTAGAAAAATTCAGATTTGATACACAGAGAACATCTAACACTGAACCCCTAAAAATTTATGAAAGGACGTTGGGAAAGGTGTCGCATAATGAATCAAACAAGCCAACAAGGAACATATATAACTCAACACCAACATGTGAATTACTAATAAATAGCAAAATTTCAAATCTGATAAATAGAGAACATCTAACACTGAACCTAAAGATAGAGAAAGAGATGTTGGGCTTAGATGAACCAAACAAACTAACAACAAACATATAAACCAACACCAACATGCAAATTTAAATTTCAGATCTGATATGTGTAGAGAATATCTAACACTGAACACTGAACAATAGGACAAAATAAGATTAGAAAATGTGTCTCAATATGAATCCAACAAACCAAACATGAACCTATATAAGCCAGCACCAACATGCAAATGTTTGCTAGCAGAAGAATTTCATATATGAAATGCAGATAACAATAATCACAAAGGAGAAGATTTATGCAAATAATAAAAGGGTGCAAACACTACTACTAGATCTAAGACATAGAATTCATATGCAAGAATTAGATTATACCAGATGATTCAGCTCTTCGACAGGAATATCAATCAAGTACTCTTTCAAAAGGTCATCGGTTATGTCCTTTTCATCCATTGATAGCGATGGTGGTACTTGGGTGACCGGTTTTGGAGCAAACAAACCACTTGGGCAGTACATCCCCCAGCTTGCCATTCCACCTACCTCTTGAACTTGGGTTAAGAGCCGCAAGTCTCTAGATTTGTTTGGAGTGAAGAAGGATGGAGAAGTAATGTTGGGTTAAAAAGGTTGAAGAAAAGGTCATAGTGCTTTTATGTCAACAACCATAATGTGATGATTACTTTTATGTCAAGAACTTTAATGAGAGAATCCCATTTTTGTGTTTTCCTAAATTGCCAGAAACACATGCAACGAATTAGAAGACACTTTTTTTTCGAAAAGAAAATATTCTAAAAAGCAATTACTTTTTAAACAATTTTTCTTTTATGGGCATACATAACACGACTATTGGTCTTTGGTGATGGAGGCACCGTAATATTCCTTCACGCCATCGATCGACATCGTCTCGTCTCGATCTTTAAACAAGACATAGATTATGCCAAAACTTATTGTTACATGTTTTCATAACAAGAAAGAACTTATAGTCATGAAACATGTCTGACATCGTTTAGTATTACTATCTTACCATTTGCCGTGTAGAAATAACATTTATGTTATTTGAATTATTTGAAACCGTTAGTAAACCGTTGTTTTGGTTGTAAGATTATAAAAATGTTTATTTGACCATCATAACTGATAGCAACATCGATCACTAATCATCCCTCTTTATTTCCTCCTCAGTTATCAGATTGGCCAGTATTTATATAAACAATATTCAATTTTCAACGTAGTTAACACATTTATTATGATACATTGTTCTTCTTTTCTCCATTAAAATTATTTGTTCAAGTCACTTCGTGTCAGACTAATTATGCTAAATGAGTAGTTTAGTAGAGTAATGTATTTTGTGGATTGTTTCCAATATCTAAGTAAACCAAGAGATTTACAAAATTAATGATATCGTATGAGAAATTTGAGAAACCATGTTTTACTGTAAAAATGAGCAAAATACAGGGTTACCAAACCTAACTCTAAATTAGCTAACCAGTTCGTAGAGCGGGAGCGTAAGAGCGTTTGATTTAGAGGAATTCAATATTGAAAGTGTGGATAGAGCGTTAAAATTATATTATATTATATTATATTATTTTATATTATATATAAATATAAACTAAAATTTTACTAATATTATATATAAAATATAAACTAATTTTTTAATGTAAATATATAAATTATGTAATTAGTACCTTAACAACTAAAATTTTTGATAATTAGAACCTCAAAATATTTAGCAAACAAAAAGAGAATGAAAAAACATTAGTTATAAAGACTAGATAAGATGGGGAAAAAGTACTGCACCGTCCACAAAGTTACAGTGCAAAGCCAACGAACAACTTCTCATTTCATTTCTCTCTATCAATCTATCTTCGAAATAGATTAGCATGGTTACTCATTTTTTAAGTAATCACGGTGGCTACTAAAATCTACACCATTCATTATCTCTAGTTCAGTTTAATTTAAAATTAACGGTAAAGATTAGATTAATGATAATTTTGGAAATGAAAAAAATACCACACGTGATGACTCTATATATACCCAAACCCTACTACAACTCATCATCCTACCACCGTCTCTCCTCCCCCTCCTCCTCACTCCACCCCATCCCACCACTGGTGCAAAACACCCCCCCCCCCCCCCCCCCCCCCCCCGTCATTGGGAGAATTCGACTAGAGAATAGGTTAGTAGTGTTTTTTCGCATTGGTAGTTTTTTTTCATAGTGGTAGTGTTTTTTTGCATTGATATTGTTTTTTTTTTCATTGGTATTAATTATATGTAAGGGTATTGATGTTTTGTGAAATGTAGTGGTAGTGTTTTTTCGCATTGATATTGATTATCATGTAATGATATTGATTTGCATGTATGGGTATTGGTTAAATTTGCAATTGTATTGGTGTTTTCTGAAATGGTAGTGTTCTTATTTCTCAATGGTATTGGTGTTTTGTATAATGCTAGTGGTTTTTTAATGGATTGGTATTGATTTATTATTGCAGCTTTATTAGTTTGCCTGAATGAAAACAAGGAAAAGATTGAGAAAAAAAGGAAGAGAGATCTCACTGAAGATTCTGGAAGCGAGAGAAAGAGAGAGAATATTGTAGTTAATATATTTTGGTAACTTCCTAAAATATAATTTATTAAAAAGGAAAATTAATAAATATTTTTTCCGTTTCTCGATTTGCCTTTAGTAATCATGGTGAATACTAATCCATAGTAATCCCCACAACTGCTCCCATCTATTTCTAAGTGGCAATGACATACGCCATTCTACTTTTCTTTTCAATTTCCAAACGCAAAATTTAATAATTCATTTTTAACTCCTCTCCGTTTTGGACCTCTCCACATTTTCTTTTAGGGATAATACCACTAGGAAACCCGAACTACGAAGAATGTGTCATTTGTGTCCTGACGTATGATAGTTGTGTGTCATTTACGTCCTGACAATTTCGTTGACTGATATAGATAACGGTTGACCAAATAGTCAACCATAAAATGTTGATTGTTGATTACATGGCACATATGTGGCAGCCACGTATACACCACGTCAGCTGCCACATCAGCTCATTAACACATAATATTTTTAAATTAAATTTTTAATATAAAATAATAAAATTAAAAATTCTATTTTTTAACCCCTACCGCCGGCCGCCGCAACCAACCTTTCTCAGAACTCCGGTTCTCTTCGTCTCCCCATCTCCCTCTCCCCGGATGACTTGCCGCCATTCTCCCTCTCCAAAACCTCAATCCACCCAACCATTATTCAGCATGTGGCCGGAACAGGGAAGCATGAAACCCCAGCTTCCATTTTCACTTGATATTTAACTGAACCAGAGAGGAAACAAAATCCCTAGATCGAGGACACAAAAGGTCTCCTGGCAGGGTTGCTTGCTCCTTCTTCACTCCCGCTCGATCCCAAAGCTCGCCGAGGCGATCCCGACGGAGAAGCCGATGGGGGAGGACGATGACGCCGGTGAGCCGAGTCAGCCGCGACGGGAAGAACATCAATTAGGGGAGGATGATGACGACGATGAGGAGTAAGCGGCGGATGGTTGCAGAGGGGATAGGAGGAGAAGGAAGAGGAAAATGAGCGACGATGATATCAGATCTTCTCGATTGATCGCTACCCAGCACCCCACAAAGAATCCAGAAGCCTCCGACATACTCGACCGCATCTGCCGCCTCCTCGGTGCCTAATCCGTCTCCGTCTCCAACCCTCGAAGGCCACCACCACCATCATCAGAGTCCGCGGCCCAGACCAGGGTGGCCGCCATCTTTGCCAGTGTAGGGTAAATTCTCAAATCGATTTACAATCGACGGCAGAGGTTGGGAGACGGGGGAGAGAAGGGTAAATCCCCAAATCAATTAGTTTATGTTTATGTTTTTTATTTTTGTAATTTATTTTATTTTATTTTCTTATATGAAAATAATTATAAATTAATATTATAAATTCCACTTCAGATGCCACCTCAGCACTGACTAGACTTTATGTTAAAAATTAACGGTCAACGCCGGTCAACTCTAACGGAAAAATAGTTTGGAACACAAATGTCATATTGGATACTTTAGAACGCAAATAACACAATTTTATAGCTCGGGTTTCCTAGTGGTATTTGCCCTTTCTCTTACACCATTCTTCCGATCCATTTTTTACTGGCAATAACACAAACCGGCAAATATCCCCAATCCCGAATATAAGAGATAACTCCAACGCCCAGAAGCTCCTCGTTTTGCAGGATTTCACCGGAAGCAAGGATTTCGCCGTTTCAAGAGACTAATCCCCTCCTCAACGGCTTCGACCAGATCTTGGCCATCACCGATTCCTGCTATCTTCCGACAAGCATATCAACGAAAACCACCCCTTTGCCAATCATGCCTTCAAACTAGCACAAAAATATGGGGGGATGATCTCTTATTTTCCGGATTCGCGCTCCAGAAAATTGAAAATCGTGCTCCCAAAAGACCAATTCTTGAATCTACACAATAAATAAAAGCCAAATGAGAAAACATGAAGCCCCATTTCAAATTTCTTGCATCCAGAGTGAAAGTAGGAAGGACGTTTTGGTCTTCACAATTACGTTTTTTTTTATTCATTAAAAAGACACTTACTAGGATTCGAACCATGACCACTTTAAAGAAAAGCAAAGATCATAATCAATCACACTAAGTATATTTGTTGTATCTTTTTAAATTAAAACATATAATTGCTGAGAAGAAAAAAACCTTCCTAACCCAACTATGACAAGGTCTCCCTGACTTGGGGCATAAGCATGGCCTAAAGATTTTTATTTGGGCTTGGGCCTTGGAGTGGCGGTAGGTGGCAACTCGAACCGCCACCAGTTTTCTTCGTGGGCTGGATTCTTTGGCCAATAAGCAACCTCTCCAACAGATTTCTCTGTGATTTGACCAGGATTGCTTGGACGGTGGTTGGGCCGCCACTGGTTCTTGCTCCAGTTTGGGTCAAGTCTTCTTTCATTGGGATCCTCTTGGGTTTTACTCGTGGTTCCCACTGGGTTTTTCTCTCATTGGACCTCGTCTTTAACATGAAAACTGCATATTCTTCTCTTTTTATCTCCTTTGATCCTCCAGAGTCATCCAATGTTTGATCCAAATTCTCTTAAGTTGTATCTTACTTTGAAAAAGCACAAGAACATACCAAAAAGACATAAAAGAATACAAAACACAACCTAGGTTTATCAAATGTCAATTGATCAGATAGTTATGATTTAGATATAAAATATAAGAGAAAGTACTAAAGATGCATTGATAGAAAGAGAAATTGTATCAAACATGTGAGTGATAAACATTATAAATTAGTATCATCAATATTCACCCGGTGTATGGAACGTCTATGTTTGTTGATACAAGCTGAAGTGTTAAGGGTCGAAGGAAGACAAATATAATTTGCATGATAGGCCCCACTGACATGATGTTTGCATATTATTTGTTTCTATTTGAACATGCTAATCTCCAACAGAGTGTTGCCTTCTGCAACTCAAGTTGTTGGAAGAAGTTTATAATGGATCTTATATCACACACTAATATGTCCCCTCAAACGATAGTCACAATATATGAGTTTGAAGTTTGCATAGGTCCGGACACCATGTGCTTAAGATCATGGGAATTCAAACACAATACATCTCGGTTACAGAAGACTCTGTTACAATATGAAAAACTAGTTGATCCCAATAACTCAAATTGTTGAAAGATGTTTCATAATAAAAATCTTATACCACACGCTAACACCTATATTCCCTCCTATCGGAATAGCATTAAAACATTTGGCGTAGAAAATACTTGAAGATGCATTCTCTTGTCATTACATATATCTATCTCACGTCTGACTATCAACTCTATAAAACACTTGGACATGTAAATGGGTTTCTCAGTCAGTAGATAACTCTTTCATGAAGATGGAGTCTGCCTTTACAACTACTGTCTGGGTCCACAACCTCCACTACACACTACCTACACATGATTCCTACTCGCCATTCTAAAAGAACCGAAGGACTTGCCAAATTGGTTAGTGCTCAATCGACTTGCTACATACAGCTCCTAACTATCATAAAATCTCACCTAGCTGGAAAATTTTAGGCCAGGACAAAGACTTCACCTCTTGAACCTGCAAAATTTGGAGACAAAATGTGTCACTTGAATCCAATTTCCAAACAACAGACGGTAGAGAATGAAATGGAGGGAGGGTTTTAGGTTCTTTTTTTACATTGCTCATAAATTTCCTCGATAAGATAGAGCGTTGCCTCCGTGTGCTCTGCCATTACACCGATTCGTTCTGCCTCTCTTACTGCTTCTGCAGCCAGAAACGATTTGTTTTCCGCCTCAGCTATCTTGTAAGCAGCGACTGTTGCTGCTTCTAGCACAGCTTCAAAGTCATCACAAGTGACTAGTGCAGGATTCTTCAACTGGAGTTGCTTGAGCTCTTCAGGTATTCGGGTTGATGATTTTTTTTTTGGTGGAGCTCATTTCATTATTCTGTAATTGTCTTGCACCTGTCATTCTTACACAATGCCAAGATGAGATATGACATACATGACTAATTCCCGCAACTATGGGGTGTCGGCCTACAGTTAACCCAAAATGGCCTTTCTTACCCCCATTTATTTACTCCACCAATTCGAGTCACCCAAAATAAAAGATAACCATCATCAGCACCAGTTTCTAGAGACAATGAAGAGAACAGACTTACCCTCTCGAGCTTTCTCTGCGCAACAAGCCTTCTCAGCTTTTCGCTTAATACCCTCCTAAAATTCTGAGGCACCACATGCCTTTGCTGCAGAATTGTAACAAAGACAGTCAGTCAACATGATTTTAGATCAAACGATGATGAGATTACCGAAATTGACTGGTTGGCTTAATTTAATGAAAGAAGTTCACTGTTTCACTTCAAAACTATGAATCTGATGTGGGGATGAAATACATGTCTTGAATGCTTAATTACTTCGGCGTACAGTTTAGGATTTGCACCACCCTTAAGACCATGACTTGCTTTGCTCACAACATAACTCAAAGACATCACAAACAAGCATACTTGAGACCAGGTTTCATCAAATTTATACACTTAATTGCGTTTCTTACATTTCATATGCTAGTGTTAGTTCTAGTGGATCTCCATGGAAACAACCTAAATCAAAAGTATGCAGTTTTATAACAACCACACGCGAAACCATACACACCTCAGACCTCATGCAAATATGTAAGTAGTTTTCAAATTATAACCATGAGTAAACAGTTTGGTTTTGCCAATTCTGGCTGCAACTCAAATGGCTGTATACAGGCCAAACCATTTGCAGAGAAGAGTAAAATATCAGTCAGCCTTACCTCAATGAAGTCAAGAATCGTGCTAAGATCACTTCCATTAGAGTCGTTAATTTCTGAAAGAGCTTCATAAACCATTGCAATATACCTGGTCGATATGGAAAGCTTCATATATAAAAATGAAACTCGTCTAATCAAAACTTGCATGTAAGTAAGAAGAGAAGCGACAAGGCAAAGAACAAACCCCGCATCCTTTTTCCCATCAGCTGCAATTTCCAGAGCATTATCTATAATAGCATCGACATTTTCAGCAGGAGCTGAGGATTTGGCAAAGGATGTGATTCGAACAATCGGATTCTTCACTCTACCTCTCTTGGATCTTTCTATCGAACCGTTGTTAGCACACATATTCCGCCATTTGTCCTGCACAATGCAAAATGTAATGATTTCTTCTCTACTAGCAGCCATTAATATCCATGAAACGCAACGACTACAAAAAACAATCTACCAGACGAAACCACAATGCTATAGCACCAAAACGCATCACACATCCACTTAAACAATGGCATTTAGGGTTCGCTACACCAGCAGGGTCTAGGAATCACAGTTCTGAGAAGCACCCAAAACCCTACTGGAGATTTTGGGAGAAGGGAGAGGGATATGGAGGGGAATTTGTCGAACCTTGAGGTCGATATTGGAGCGGTGGGTGAGGAGAGGAGCGAAGTCAGGATCCTTGATAATGTTCTTCCACTTCCCAGGACCATACTTGGATACCCCGGCGAGCAGGGCGCCTTCCTCCTCCTCCGTCCACCTCTGCTTCTGGTTCCCCATCCTGCCACCGGAGACGGTTTGTTCGTTTCTTCTTTTGATCAACCGAAGGAAGCTGGAGACAGAGAGTGGAGGAGGCGGTCGTCACGGGTCGGAGCCGGGAGACGAGAGATGGAAATCAAGAGCGAGAACGGCCGGGAAGGACCAACTCGACCGCCGGGAGCATGGGCTTCCACCGGTTACTTCCGGAAATGAGAGAGACTCATAGTAAGCTTTGGTATAAAATTATTTTGTGCTAATATCACCAAAACCATGGATTTTTTTTTTCATAGATAGAATGGATTGAAAAATAAAAGCGATAGTCAATACTAATTGAGCTGTCGTTGAAATAGCCGTTTTTGTCACGCAATGGGCAGCTCGTTAGTTCCTAAGAAAAAAGTGATGGAAACCACTCAAACCATCGAAAGGATACAGCTTCATAACCTCCAACTTGATCCACTAAAGAAGTATGACTCAAAAGGATAACCTCCACGGCAGCATCCCAAAATTCGATTTAGCAGTAGCAACACCATAAAGCCAATGATGCCTTCCTTATTTCGTAGCAGTGCTCCATCAAATCTCATCAAAAGGCCATCTGGTGGACATGACAAAGCCGCCACCAATCATTATTTTGCAATTGAATCATCACTTGTAAAATAAGCAAACAAAAAGGCTCCTGCAAGGACAATCCAAGCCAATGAGCCAACATGCCAACATGTACACAAGGCATCTTTCTCCCTTGAAAAAGTGAACTAGGTCATCGGGGAACCATAGATAACCAACATTGGTTACAAACTTTTATTTTTGGGTAAATACAATATATTAGTCACAACTATTATGAAGCGAGGAATTATAGCCACAACTATGGAAATTCAAATTATTAGCCAAACGTTAATTTTCTAGTTAACAATTCCGTTAGTAATGTTGACTAAACTTTTATGTTTTAAAGTTATAAATTAAAAGCAGTCCGACGTGGTTGTTGTCGTGGCCGATGACGTGGCCTTCTCCGTTAAAAATTCAATAATAGTAACGGTCAGTTAGCCATATCTTGACCTGCAACAATAGTTATGGCTAATAATTTGAATTTACATAGTTATGGCTATAATTCCCCGCTTCATAATAGTTGTGGCTAATATATTGTATTTACCCTTTATTTTTTAATAAAAGGTTACAAACCTAAACTTGAAAAGAACTTCATCCTCGAGAATATGACTAGGAAAATTGATGCAGTATTTGAAAAAGAAATAATAAAAGAAGCATATAGTTATAAAAGATGAAATATAACTAGTAAAATTGATGCAATAATAGATGGAAAACGATACAAGACATAGAGGATTTAAATTGAAAAGAAAACAAATAAATAAATATACAAATAAAATTAATAAGCGAGGGAGGATAATTAACAAAAGAAAACAAATAAAGATTACTAATGAATAAGAAAATACAAAACCATGGATTGAATAAAACTATCATTTTAGATCGATAAAATATCATTTTTAAATAAAATAATATATTTTTGTGAAAATTCATACCTACAAACATATTTTATCTTACCGGCAAAATATCGGTATTACATAGGATAGCAATAAGTCAAATACTAACTAACTGAACATGAGAAACCAAGACACAAAAGACATATAAAAGTCACAAGTTCAATAATTAATCTTAAAATTAAGTCTAACTAAACCCAATTGCAAAGTGCAAACATTACCTTTTATCCCAGCTATTAGAAAGAGCACTCGGTTTCTGTTTGCTGGAGAGAGCCAAGTGTCGCTTTGAGGAAGAGATAAAAAAGATGGAGCAAGTGTCAATTAGAGTTGTGTTGGAGAGTATGCTTCTGCCCCATATTCAATTTTTCTGATAACTTTCTCTCAAAACGACATCATGACGTTAGAGAATTTTTTAGTTATTTTCTGGGATGTTCGGTAATTATTAAAACCGGGAGGAATATCGTGGCGTCGATCTTGCTTCTTCTATGTTTCCAGTGGCAAAGTATTGCCTTCTCTGACGCCATCTAAACAACTGTACCAAATGCACGTGGCTAGGGGTGGAAATCGGTACAATATCGGTATTTCGGTATCAAATATCGAAATCATGAATACCAAATTACATCCTAAAATCAATCTCTATCTCAAATCCTAAATAATTTTGGTATTTCAATCCCCCAATCGGCATTATCAAATACGAAATTAATTATCTTTGTAATTAATAATTAAATATATAAATTAGATTTGGTTGTCTAATTTAGGGCAAAGAGACTAGGTAAAGGGTATTGAGTTTGCTTAGAGCTAGGACATGGATAAGGAGAAGAGAGGTGACGTCTCAATTGCTTGTCATTGGTACTATTGCTTGACATGGGTTGGAGGGTGAGAGACGACTAATACTAGTATTTGCTTTTTGTTGTTATGAAAATAACAAGAGATTCAAAGAGAGACGAGAGTGACTTGAACTGGAAAGTGGAAAGCCAAATTTGGATTGGACGAGAGTTGTGAAAGAGTGATGAATGACCATAGGTTGTGTGCTATATTCCATTAATTTTCAATTTTCGTTATTTCTCGGTATTTTGGAATATACCGATCTCAATCTCGTAATCTCGAATACCGAATAACACTCCAAAACGAATCACAATCTCAATCTCTAACAATAAATTGGTATTCGGTATTACCAAATAGTGATAAATTCGGTATGGTATTCTATATATCTCAAATATCAGTACCAAACTGGAATGCGTTAGGGTGGAAACTGAATTTCTAGTAGCCACCGTGGCTACATCAGTATCCACCATTTATTTTCTTCTCTTTCCTCTTTTTTTAATCTTACGGTTAAGATTGCCTCATGATAATTTTGGAAGAAAAAAAAGGACCACACTTGATTATTCTATATATTCTACCCTAACCCTACTTCTACAGCCAAACCCGCCGTAGCCGCAAGCTCTCACCCTCCCCGACGATGGCTTAGGGTTTGCTTGTCCGACGACTCCTTTCGCGCCTCTTTCTCCGGCCACGGGCGAGTCACCAGTCGGATGGCTGGTCCCGCGGCCGCACGCCGTTGTCTGGTCATCGGCGGTGGCGGCAGCGAAGGTGGAACGGCTGAGGAACCTGTTCATAACGACGAGGGCGTTGGCGGAGGGCAGGCGGCTGGTGGAGCACGGGAACAACTTCACGAGCGCGCACCACCTGCTGGCGTCGACGAGGGCGCTGCTGATGCAGTCGGAGAACGACGACGCGGAGGAGTACGTGAGGGCGGTGGAGGCGAAGCTCGGGGAGCTTCACTGGAGGAAACAGCAGGAGATAGAAGCGGCGTCGATGGTGATGCAACAACAACAGGAGATAGAAGCGACATCGATGGTGATTTTTTTCAAATGGTAGTCGTTTTCCCCCGTAGTGGTAGTGTTGTTGTCGTATTGGTATTGTTTTTGTCGCATTGGTATTATTTTTGTCGTATTGGTATTGATTTTGTCGCATTGGTATTTATTTTGTTACATTGATATTGATTTTGTCGCATTGGTAGTGATTAAATCTGCAATGGTATTGATGTTTTGTGAAATGGTAGTGTTTTTATTTCTTGAATGGTATTGATGTTTTGTACAATGGTAGTATTTTTTTAATAGATTTGTATTGATTTATTGTTTTGTTGTTGCAGCGGTATTAGTTTGGATGAACGAAATCAAGGAAAGATTGAGAAAATGAAGGAAGAGAGATCTGGCTGAAAAATTATGGAAGTGAGAGAGAGAGAGAGAAATTGTATTTAATATATTTATGTAATTTCCTAAAATGTAATTTATTAAAAAAAAATCATTAATAAATTTTTTGTTATACCCAATTTGCCCTTAGTAACCACGGTGATTACTATAAAATAGTAATACTATAAAATAGTAATCACCGTAACTTGTCCCGTACCATACTTCCAGCCCTACCTGTGACGAAGTTGACCAAGGTGGAAATCGCGAAGGCAAACTTCATTAAACCTTGTTTTGATTGATGAGATATTATCTTAACCGCAATTTTGGTTCTTCACGCACATTTGTAGAATTTCACGAATCCATAAAATCCAAGCAACTCTTTGTCTCGAATCCATTTGGTTGTCCTTTTCATCTCTTTGTAAGGGAACATGTAAGACATCCCAACATCAAGTTCCCAATCTTTTATTACATTCACATTTCTCCTATTTCTAATGATGTGAAAAGATGTAGTGATAGCTAATATAGTCACACAAGTGACAGATTGAGCATCTATGATTAACCCTTTATTATGGTTCCCGATTAAATCAGGGAGTGAAGGGAGATTGGAAAAAGGTCATATAATACTCTTGAATAGCTAATTAACCAACACAGTTTTTACCCTAGCGACAACATGATAAATAAAAACACCACAATCATGATTAAGCAACTCGAAGGAACTTTGGATAATGGTTGTGTATTGATAATTTTTCATCCCTCCGCCCAATAAGATTTGGACTGCACAATAAGAATCCAACTCAGAATCCAACTCCACTCTTACACGACGAAATCTGAGATCCAAGCCAATTGAAAGCCTTCGACAACACCTTTCAGCTATGTCCAGGTTATTGAAGTTGTGTATGTTAAATCATTGTATTGTTATGAATCACAATGATATAAATGCATGCATCGATATAATAAATGCATTTTGAAATTATATTGTTTGGTTGTTGAGATTATAATTTATGAATTAATTGTTATAAAGTTACTTTACAAGGAAATGTCATATTTGTCCTCTACTTTTAATATAAAACAAAAAGAACTATGGACATAATTGGAAAAAGTAAAGGTGCTCAATTATTAAACCAACAATCATAACAATCTCAACTTTTAGTTGAGATTGTACAATCCCTCATTTTTGTTGATTGTTGGTGGGACCCACACAAAACAATACATGCATTGTTTTGCACCTTGGGTGTCGTTTGGAAGTTGCGAATGTTAAATCGTTGAATTGTAATGAATCACAATAAAATAAATACATGTATTGGTACAATGGATGCATTGCAATAATACATTGTTTGGTTGTTGAGATTCTACTTTATGTATTGACTTGCATAAAGTTACTTTATGGGGAAATGTCATATTTATCCTCAACTTTTAGTATAAGACAAAAACTAATAGGGATACAAATGGAAAGAAAAAATGGACACAAATCTAAAATCAACAATCACAACAATCTCAAATTTTAGTTGAGATTGTATA